CGATTTCATATAGCTTTATTTTCGAAATTGTCCCTTCTAGCCTTTGGCCCTGCCAGTTTAAACCGCAAGGTAACGATGGCATCGACCACCTTATTACTATATTACATACGGTAATTCTCGTCTCATCATGCTATCGTTTTCGGGTTATGTGTGACCATCTTACAGGTGGTAAATAGGCCTAACCAGTTGCGCCCTGATAGTGCCCACAAATGTTTGCCCACAGCTGCTTATTAGTCACCGCTGACCTCCATATTTCGGAGTCGATCCCATATCTTCATTTCAGGAGGCACCAGTTATTTCTTAGCTATGCTCGCCAACCAACGGGTGCTCAATTTATCGTGAACTTTCTTTTTCTTTTCAATCTTGGACGTCCAACCGTGTGACTAGGTGTTCAGCCGTTGTCGCAGCTGCCGGGTCAACGCCATGTGTATTCAGCAACAGCATGTACCAACGCCTAAATATACTGTTTCTTTGTTCTCGGCTGTTTCTATGGCAAATTACTCGGCAAACAGAAAAGAAAATGAGTTGTGCAGCGAATGGTTGCCGCTTGCAAGTTGCCAGTCAAGTTGGAATCGAGAAATCTGGCGATTCCAGCAGTTGTCACTGAAAGACGTAAGTTCCATATTGCACTTGGAACGTTTATTCCTCATCTGGCCAACCAAACAGGCTCGATATACAGGAAGTCACGGAAGCTCGCCTCCCGGGAAAGGGGACATTTGAAATGCAGAATGGATGGCCATTTTGGTGGTCACACCAGAGTAGATTGCGCCGAGTCTGTGTGAACGTTCTTTCCTCCCATGGGGTAAGCCAGGCGGTCATTTTGGTGAAAGGTCGTAGAGTATTACGGTACGTCGCATGAATGCCAAACAAGGACGATGAGTGTCATTGTCGCCTATGTCTCGACTGGTGTTTCTAATGACAACGACAAACAGGCTTTCTATGACCGCTAGCAGTCGGTCGTGTGCGCTTTGTCGTGATGGTCAGGCGTATTCGGCGATTACCGTATTGCCGGCGCGAATGACAACGACAGCCTTCTTCTAAGCTAATCAGCGCCAAACTGCTTAATCGTCAACGGGACCCAATTCCTTCATATCTGAATTCCCCAAGCCACCAAATTGGGCAAAAACGAAGGTCGCATTCTACAGGGAAGCCGCAGTTCAAAATATCAGATCAAATATCCTGCTAACCTGGAGTACGCAGATGACATGGTCTTGGAAGACACTGTTGGAATCGGACTGTATTATTTGACTGCTTCCATATGCGTAACTGCTACGAAAGCCGGTAGTCAAAAGTTACGAATGATCTATCCGTCACATATGATCTACCAGTGGAACAGGGGTGTGAAGCACGTAAGCGTTTGACCAATTAAGAAATCTCGGCTTTATCACCTCCAATGATTTACCATCACGTGACAGTCGAAAAAAAAGATCGCCGCGGTCTCGAATGCTTTCGAAAACATGTCGAATATTTCGAGAGAGAAAGGAGTGTCTGTTCTCGCAAAACTCCGTCTGGACTTTACCTCTGTGAGATCAGTGTTTTCGTAAGGCCTGGAAATAACTGTTCTAACGACGGATCAAGAAGCAAGGTTGAACTATGTACAACAGGGTTTGCCTCGACGCTTAACAAGGTCAAAATGGCAGGACCACGCGTAACGAGTCACTTTATTCTGTTCTGGGCACAAGTGATCTCAAGTGATGTGGAGATTAAGAGAAGGGGTGGTTCTGTTATGTAAACTCGC